GAATTATGTCATTGTGCAACCAGGGGGCTCCTCGAAGCATTGGTCCGGTCTGGTAGGAACATCGGATTGGTAGTGTCGAGATACGCTAGGTAGTCTTAAGAAAAGGGAACCCTCCGACAATAGAAAAATTGTCCGGCCGTAGCGCCCTTTCGGGGCCTATCTGCTATAACAACGGAAGGCGGCATGAGATGTAATACTCCCAGGTTACCGAAACCTGAGCGGGAGCAGTCGATATGTGTGAGGTTGGGTTCGAACTACGAACGTTCCGGTCGGTAAATTCGTACCCTAACCACTGAACCATCTCGCCAGAGCTCTACCACTTTTGAAATGCATACCGCCCTGGTGGGGTGTCTTGTCGCGGTGGATGAATGACTTTCTCACTACCTCGTGCCTCCTCCCGTTGGCATGGCAGCTAGGCGCCGCCAGGGGGCTACAGCTTAACGATTTAATTTACAGTACACAACTGAAGAAGCCGCTCCCCATTATCTTTATGGTGCGCCTCGAACATCTGCCTGCGCTTTCTCAATTGCTAGTCACCCAATTTGGGCATTCATATCACCCGTTAGCCGCTGTTTATGATCCATGTAAAGATGACAGATCGCGATAAATCCTATCTTTCGATTGTCTACCGTGTGTGGGACGGTATGCTGACATGAAGAGCTGTTTGTTACGTAGATGCTTCTTCATCCAGCCGTGCATCGAATGGATACACTCCAAGGTTGTTCAGTCCATGAATTGACAACGAAGTATTTGAGCTGTCAACACTGAACTCTGTCGCGTTGGTAACTGTCATGTTACCGGATGTGGACATCGGGTATAAGGCAAACTAGTGTTTAGCTCTTTCGTACAACCCATGGTCAGTGAATCAAAGCTACCGCCTTCACTACGTAGCTCTCTCATTCCGTGTCCTTCCGGACACAACTGTTAAACGTCCATGAAATCTGGGTTATTCCCTTCAATGTGTGCCTGGTTTCCTTACCTTTTTTATCCCTGGTAAACGAAGCCGTAGCAGCTAAACCGCTGTACTTCGGTATACGTATTGCGTCTGAAAACTAGACTGAAACTAAAATTGCTTACCGCATCCAGCTGCGCTGATAACAATTGAACAAAACAACCTTGCAGCCCAGGGATTACATTCTACTTAGATCTGTCCCCGTAAAGGAATTGCAGCCTTGAGGCTCAATGCAACGCCTACGCCATAGATAACAAGCCTTTGGATCAGAACTCCCGGATCTCAGGGCTGTGAGATTCGAAACCTGAGGGTTCGTTACAAACAGCTTGAAGTGCGTGATGTGAGTATTACGTGCATGTTCTGTAAACAGGCGAAAAGGGAAACGAAGCCTTAGCAGCAACTGCCCCTTGCAGACACTGAAAGCTGCAAAGTGGGTCAGATCTTCTGTGTTTTGGAAGGGGTTATGTTGGCTCATTTTACTGGGTGATGGTTCAGGCCCGGAGCAGCTGTTATAGGACTGGCAGGTGAATTGACCACAGTGGACCATTTAATGGGTACGCGTGGGAGCCGCTGAACAAAGGGCTGAACTATAATCATTCACAGCATACTATTAGTCTTCAACACTGATACCTCGCTGCCTTAGAACTATAGTTCATTCAGATGTCTTACTGTGAAGATAATAAAAGTGGATGGGAAAGTGATGTCCTACATCAATCATTTTGAAGTTCCTGCATCTCCGGACTCCTATTGAGACAATCCGGATAGAAACTGACAACATGAACGCAATTTACCTTGATTGTCAACCATATCTTGCAGCGTTTCCAACGAGGCGCTGTAAGGATCACGCGGTTACCATCCTGGAACGCGAGTCGTACCGGGAGCACCCAAATTTTTTGTGTCCTCTTTCATACCTGTCTGTCATGTCGAAAGTTGGTCACCCCTCTGATTCCGCTACTTTGAATTGGTCGCGGGAAATAGCACTCTCTTCAGGAGGCTCAATGCTTTACCTAACCACTGTAGCTTTTGCTGCTGAAAACAGTGTTTGATGGAAGTCCCCCTTGCACAACCGAACGCTGGTTTTCTAAACGTCCCCGTTACGGACTCGCCGGTACCAGCTTACACGAGCTGTGGTTCAGAGATGACGGTTGTCGAAGCCCTGAAGATTTCTCGTTTGATGCATCGCTGTCTGTGATTGAAGCACTTGTGCTGTTCTATCTAATACCCAATACTTGAGTGGACCTAGTTGCGCCTTGGGGCATTGAAAACTTCCAGCATGGTACGGAAATTTGGCGGTCTCGTCTCAGCAAATATTGACGTCAGTTGGTGAAGCAGTTGGATGCCACCACACGACGACCGGTGCTGCATGACAGTATTTCCAATCGTGTCATGGTTGTACTTGGGCTGGAATACTGCAAGGGTGTCCAGGCCTGAACAACAGGATTATCAGCCTCAACCAGAGCCTCTGACTCTTTTGCGACGATGTTTGGCGGGAATTGTCAGTGCATCACATTAGAAAGAACAAAGCCACATTCGTGTTCCAACCCCCGACCTAGAGGACTAGGAGAGTGTTGGTCAGAACTCGTATGAGCGACTCCGAGAGAGTCGCACAGACGCCCTTCAGTATAGCTCACTGGATAACCGAGGCGTACAAACTGCCACACCATGGTAAGGTGCAGTCTTCTCGTGAAAGAACGATGAGTTACTGATACTACCTGGGTGTCCAGGCCGAGGAAGATTTGTTTGAACTACCCCACCTGTGACTCAAAAGTCCCTCCAACAGGGCAATGGGTGAATGTAGGGCTGTTTGGCTCCAATGTTTAACCCACAATTCAGTGGGCATTTTTGTTATTTTTGGGCCCAGAACCAATGACTCACCGGTGTGACCTGCTTGGGGACAAGCTTGGAAAAGTGTTGTGACTTGCTGAACGGTCATATAACTCTGTTTCGGTCCTTGGCTCCCTGCTTCACTCACCGTGATATATCCAAAGGCACTGTAGCTTCAGGCAGCCTTTCATGGAGTCAAATGAAGATTAGTGCAACTGTATTTACCGGATAATCACAGAATGTTTAACAAGGTCGTGGTAGGATCTCCGTGAGGGGGCGGTGGTTTTCACACAGCGTCCGCATACCATTTTCGAAGGCAGGAATAACTGCCCCATCCTGCGGCACTTTCTCTTCACTACATATTGCGGGGTGGGCCATGTGACTTTGTGAGAATGTAGAAAAGATTACGGAGAGTTTTGGTGTTATTATTGTGGTCCGCCTTCTAGGCTGGGGTCCCTCTGACTGTTCCTGTGCTAGGCTGGAAATGTCAAAAGCAGTTGCTTCTAGCCAAAATCAGTAGCATCCGTGCTGTCCGTTGCTTTGCAGATTTTCCGGGAGTTTGGGGATGCATGCATCCCAGACCATCACCAGGCCCCCATCATAAAGTCTCTTCATTTTCCTCATTGGAAATATAAACATAATTAGATAGAATTTATGGTTGTGCACAATTTTTGTGTGAACCGGGCACTTGGGTTCTGTTTTATGCGCCTTCCGAATGAACCCTAGACCGGGTGTACAGTACCAACAGTATTCTGGTCCGTGTAGTAACATGAAGCGCACCGCGCGATTGTAAATTTGACCCTTGACGGTTGAGCTGATGTCACGCCTGCGCCCTAAGTGACACAGATTTACAAAAGCTGCTTTGGCCTTCGCAATCCGGATAAAAATATCATCTTCCGCGAGACATTCGGGACTGGTATGGCTGCCAGCTTCTCCCCTCGAGAGTTCGAAACAGTTCTCCTGAAAGAGCTTGAGAAAGCACAGTGGTTAAGGCGTGAACTTGTTGCTAGGACTGTTCGAACCCGATCTTTGCATCTCAACTGCTCCTGTCTAGACTTGGGCAGCTTGACAGTATCTCAGCCCTCGTGCTTCCTTCGGGTGGCATTGATGCTATGCGCCGAAATATTATTACAGCCGAACTGTTAGTATTTTCATTGTAATAGTGCTGATACGCTTCCTAGAAACCTGCCTAAGGTAGATGAGGCGCCGCTGCTCACATGTACCACAGTAACTAGATTTGAACATAGTTTTCGTATGCTTGGAAATCCATAGACTCTCTCTTTAGGAACCGGTAGTGTTTCTACTCTGAGTTGAACTATTTCTCACCGTCCATCCTCCCTAGTTTGGTCGCGGTCCTAACCATGGTTCGAGTCAATCCATAATTTTATTGCTCGTATGTTGGCTTAAAAACATGTCCACATCTTAGACTTGTTCGACTTCGCATTTTTTTGAGAGAACTGCGGGATCTGTTGCTGAAGATGAAAAGGAGCGGGGCGAGATGGCTCAAGTGGTAAGAGCGCGAATTTACTGACCAGAAGGTCTATGGTTCGAACCCGACCTCTGCCTCTCGATTTCCCCTGTCTAGGCTTGGGCAACCTGACAGTATCCCATCCCTCTTGCTTCCTTCGGGTAGCATGGCAGCTAGGCACTGAAAGAGTCTTACAGCTGAACGACTTTTTTGAAAAGGAGCATTTGTAAACTAGATTTCTATCCTTCACATAAGCTTACCAGTAATGTGTCCTCATTTGTGACTGAAATGTGTACTCAGATCAGATGATTTGCGAGAACACCAGTTTTGACCACTCCACCAACACGTTTCGGGTGACTCAACCTGCGTGCGCCCGCACGAATCAGCTAGGACGTCAGACATAATTACATATTGTGAGACCTTCATAGCTTTCGATTTGGCCACGTCACCTGATGAGCCGTGACTCGTGACTTTTCGTTCGATTAACAGATCGTTAATTGCATGGACTGCATATGACGGAGATCAGGTCTCGCTTAGCTTCGCGTAGACCGTGAACATATATCTGGAGCGGATGATTTCTGATACTTCCGTGACTGTCGTAAATGCACTATCCTTGACATAGTTGCGTGACATGTCGTGCGTGCACATTCTAACTGTTTCAACGTTTTTCCTTTTTTTTAAAAAAAATTTCTAACTTGTTTTCCAAATGACCTTTGTCTTCTGAGCCATATGACTGACGCGATGTTTTATTTACAGCATGCCAACCAGGACGTGGAAAAAATGCTACTGGGTAACAAATGTGACATGGTTGATCAGCGGCAAGTTACACGGGAGGAAGGTCAAGATGTAAGTTATGTCTGACTGCTTTTTTTGGCTTTCTCTTGTTTGCCTACACTTTGGGGATATCTATCGGATAACCTGCCATTAGTCGTTAGCTTTTGCGCTTGTGTGGATGCGTTGTCATCTGTGACCAATTTTCACACTTCACATTGTAAATGCTACAATCAAGTAGGGCATATTTATGAAATCGATTGCCGTTTTGATATCATCAGTGAGTGCAACGGACTGTGATGGTGCTTTATCGGTTCACTACGGACACTGCGCCACGCCCCACATGTGCATTTGATTTTGAGATAGCTCGGTGGTTAAGGCGCAAACTTAGTGACCCAACGCCGATATCTTTACTTTTCCCGTCCGAGCTTGGTCACTTTGGCAGTGCCTCAGCTCTTGTGTTTCTTTCGGGTGGCATAGCAGCTATAGAGTGAAAAGCTGTTATAGGTGAGAGATTATGGGGACACGTGAATCTATGGTCACACTGATTGGTCAAACTTCTGCCTGGTGGATCAACAGCTGGTGCCCTTCACTGTCATTGGTGGCGAGATGGCTCAAGTGGTTAGAGCGCGAATTTACTGACCGGAAGGTTCGTCGTTTGAATCCGACCTCCGCCTCTCGACTTCGCCTGTCTGGGCTTGGGCAACCTGGCAGTATCCCAGCCTTCGTGCTTCCTTCGGGTGGCATGGCAGCTAGGCACCGGAAGGATGCTATAGCTGAACGCCCCATACCATTGGTGTGTGACTTCCACGGTGGGACAGATATCGATCTTTCGCGAATGCCCTCTGTGTTGGTCCTGAATTGATGTAGTAAAGATGGGGATTTGGGAGGCCTTGAATGTGGTCATGGAGCAGCGTCCATAGCGGTTCAGTTAGTAGAGCACTCTTGGGACGAGGTGGCTCAACTGGTAAGAGCGCTAATTTACTGATCGGAATGTCCGTGGTTCGAACCCGACCTCTGCCTCTCGACTTCACCTGTCTAGGTTTGGACAACCTGGCAGTATCTCAGCCCTCGTGCTTCCTTCGGGTGGCATGGCAGTTGGGCACCGATAGGGTGTTACAGCTGAACGATTTATATGTTTTACATTTAGTAGAGCACTCCCCCTGTAAGTGAGAGGTTGTGGGTTTGTATGATGTGTGCTTGGTCCCGTATTCATTTTTTCAGTATCTGGTTGAATGGCCTTGATTTTGTAATCAGTAAAGGTTTATTGGCATCGTACGTCTCACACAAAGAGAGACTTCGGCGCTTCGGTCGCCTAGTCTGAAAGCAAGGGATCTAGAAACCTGGTCTGGTTTCTTTTTCGTATCGGACTACAGACACCTGAAAACAACGTTTGAACCAGTTCGGTATGAACGTAGTTTTTTCGTAGACCTTGAATTACGAACCTAGTTCCTGATTTCCTCTTATGGTCAACAACAGTACTGCTAATTCCAACTCATCGCACCACGCAGTCGTTTGCCACAGACATTTGAGATTGCGAGTAAAACGTTATGGCTTTAAAGGTCTGGGATGTATTGTTCTGTATCGGCGAAGTGATGTTTATTTACCGGTTTGTCGAGTTAGATCAGTTGGTGTATGGGGCGAGATGGCTCAGTAGGTAGAGCGCGAACACACTGACCGAAAGGTCTCTGGTTCGAACCCTACCTCCACCCCTCGACTTCCCCTGTCTAGGCTTGGCAACCTGGAACTGTCCCAGCCCTCGTGCTTCCTTCGGGTGGCATGGCAGCTAGGCACCGGAAGGGTGTTACAGCTGAACGATTATTATTCTTGTTATTATTCTGTGTTTTTGACAGTGAATACTATGTAGAGATGGATTTTGGGCTCTTTGTAATAACGGTATCTTCCTAAGCTTAGTTCTCGGTCTGAACCTCCCAAGCTAGCGTTCCCGTGAAAAACAACCACCAAAGTGCACCACGTATATTAACGCCCAAAACCGGGTAGAAAAAACACTTGTGCAGCGTGTCGTATATAAAGTGTATGCCGCGGCAACACTGGAGTTTCTGACCCCTTCGGGATGCGCCACTGATAACCGGCATTCAGCGAATACTGGGCCATGATGGGCTATTGGATCCAGATTTTCGACCAATCAGAGCTCACCTTGATACCGGACCGGCAAGCAGCCGGAACTTTTTGCAAGTCTTATGCGGGATAGGCTTCTTGGCTGTAGCAGCGCCCAACTGCTAGCGGTATTGGTGTGGAATTCCGCCTAGCATTGTTTGACTGTGTTCTGTGTTTCGGCGTTCCCATCCTTATTTGACTTGGATCTCGGCCACCTCCTTCGTGCGGTAATGCAACTTGCTGTTGCAGCGGTGTTGACTTGGCTACTGTCCTATAGCACTCGTTTTGATGTCTTCATCTGTTTGCCTGAGCTTATCGCTATCTAGAGGCTACTTGGACGCGCTTGATTCTTCACAGTTGCTCATCTGGTGATGCGCGAAACACGTCTGATGTAGGTTGCGTAATCCCTTTCGGAATGTCAGCTTCCAACTGATCGGGAATGCCTTTCCGAGAGACCGTCAGCCTATGCTTACATGTGAGTTGCTTCCAGAGTCTCAGTGGCTAGTGCGTGGAGCTCACTCATTCTTTGTTTATTGCAACAACCTGTTTTCAACCCCTTCCCATGGCTTTGTCTTGTATGCGTGAAGCCGCTGCTGCATCATTCTACGCAGTTTTATCTAAGTACGTAAGAGCAGTAAATTGCTGGCACTCAGAACAAGAAGCTCGACATTATCGTGCGAGGGGGGGGGGGGGATGGCTCGGTGGTTAGAGTGGCTTGGGTCCCAGCCCTCGTGCTTCCTTTGGATGGTATGGCAGCTAGGCACCGAAAGGGTGTTATTACTGGTTGTGGCATGTGCTTGCAAATGCTAAGTAACCGTGTCTCGGTCTACATTTCCTACTGGTATATGGGTTGCAGGTGCTGAATTCTACATCTGAAGGTTATGTGATCGCACAGCCAGTTTCGGCAGTAAGCATTACTTCTGGGAAGCGATCGCTTCGCTGCTTTTCGAGAGGTCAGTACACGATAATTTGATCAATCAGCAAAACCGTTGGACGTCATTTAAAAAAGACATGATTAATTGCCATGAGACATCCTTCTGCTGTGTCTGTTCCAGAAAATCGAACCTACACATCCTCCGCAGTATTAGCTGTCACCGAACTTGTGTGCGGAATTGCTTGTAGATGAAAAGAGTACTTCGATACCTTGAGTTTAGACCTGGCTCTGATTCACATCAGTTAGATGACACCACAACCAGGATTACGTGTGTTCATATACTATTATTGGGTACATCAGTGACGTTAACTGTTTGAATCACCTGCAAATGCGCCATCGGAATCAGGCAGTCAGTGCACTTCTTCCGACTACCTGGCGGTGGGCAAGGCATTCATTTCATCATCCGGGGTTGCTCACACATTCATGCCAACGATTATTTGGAGTGCCTCAGGAATGCACTCCTGTCAACAAAAGAGCACCAAACAACTCAGCCCTGAATGTACACATTACCGGAGCGAAACAAGTAAATTACTCCCTACCACCCACCTATGTCAAAAGAGAATGTGACTCTCACCCCGCCCCTCAATTTCACATAATCTGAAGATACTCGTAGTTTTACTGGTCAGATTCAGCGGGCCTTCGTTTCCCATGCAATACTGACGAAATTGTGGCCGGTAGTACGCTTACTTGCTGATCCGCGACCTAGTTGAATGTGCTTCCACGAGTAGCACCATCCCGTTTTGCTCCTTGGAAATTTGTAGACGAGGATTATTAGCCTTCCATTCGTCTGCGGTTGAAGGATGTGGTATTGGAGGTGGTCATTGATTCCTAATAAACATTCCCCCGTGCTTTGTGGCTGGTTTGTCACTCATTGTTAAAATAATTTGGTTCGCCAAGGTCATTTCTTCCCGGGGGTTGTTATTTGTTGGGAAGTTGCTTACTGGGAGTGGCTAATGTACTTTGCTTTTCGATCAGCTGTTTCTGTGTTTTGTTTTATTCCACCGGTCAACAGTGCGTACCCAGTCAATAATTCGTAGGTCAATAGCAGTCCCTCGTCATCGACTGAAGCACCGTTGTTGCGCATCGGTATGTGCAAATCTGGTTTCATTTGACAAGCGAGGTTGACCTGTGCGGTGAAACCGAGTGGCACCGAACTGTTTCCCGAGGAGCTTGTTCTCAGTTGGTGAGAAATGCGCGTCAACGACGAACGTTATCTTACTGTGTTTGCTATTGATCAGCGACTTTTCACTGGACGGTATTGTTTGAAATCCACTCTCAGGTTCATCGGATTATAATCTCCTTAAGGCTTTACGAGGTCCGCGCCTGCAATGATTCCCACTGGGGAGAAAGCAGTTTGCAGTTTTCTTCGTCCTCTCAGCATAGGGTGACTGGAGAATGAAATTCTCGGTTGGAAGTTCATGAATTAGCTTACTGCTTGAGAGATACTTTATTAAGAAGATTCGAACGAGCGAAGAGGGATCCAGTGCTTATGTGGACTATTCACTTACTAACTTTGACAACATAAGCACTTATCTTGCAGTGTCTGCTCCAGGTGAGGTATTCTTTTTCGCTTGGGATTCATAGACTAAAAATTGTAAGGTTACTAGGCAACACAACCCGTTGACCAGCCGGCAGAGTTTTAATCGAGGATCAGACAAGATCCCATTATGAGGGAGCAATAATCCAAATGATTCTGTACTATGGACCGAGTAGCAAACACGAATGGCTTGCCTACAAACATTTGTAAATCTTAAGAGATGTTGATCAGTTTGTTGTCGACTAAGGTATGCAGCTAAAGACAGATCTTTCGATGATTACGACGCAATTGAGAAGGGTATTGCTAGAAGATCTGCAAGCTGCAAGAAGGGTGCGGGATCTATTTTAGGGGCCACAAGGACTGGTGGATTCAGACCGTGTGGCGGAATCACGATTGCGAACAATTCGAAGACCGATGTGCTTTTGTAAATTGTGTACCCGCCCCAGCTAAACGCTTGCCATATTCCGGTTTTCCGGAGAGGACTCCTATCTGATGTCAGTGAAACTAATAGTGTTTGGATACAGTTCTGCACACAGAACACTGCGAGTGGCCAAAAACAGCCGGTGACGGTTGTGATGTGTTGGGGGTCACGTTATACTTGCAATCACCCATGTTTCTCAGAAAAAATTGGGCTTCCAGCGCTGTGCCGTCCATGTGTTAGCCGCTACCTTATGCTGCTAAGTTAGCTAACTAAGGAAATATTCAGTCAGAAAAACAAAATGAGAGGGTAAGCCACATATATTAAATGAGCTTGTTGGGTGCGGGGTTCCCCAGAATAGGCTACCCAGCTAGCTGTCAACACAGGCTGGTCACCATACTAATAACAACACCCTTCTGGTGTCTAGCTGCCATGTTACCCGAAGGAAACACGAGAGCTCAAGTATTGTCAGGTTGTCGAAGCCTAGAAGTAGAGATGCGGAGGTTGGGTTCGAACCATGGACCTTTCGATCATTAAATTCATGTGCTAACTGGTGAGCTATCTTGAGCTCATATCAGACAATGTTCCCAACCACCGGTGAGGACGGTCGCCTGGTTTTCATTTACCAACTTACCGATTTTGCATTTACCAACTTTCGATTCCCGAAGAGCTCAGCCGCACCACGAAGCACCACTCATTGGGACTGTAAAATGGAGGTCACGCGCCTCTTTTGTTGTTAGCCTTGGCTGGTTTTTCCTCCAGAATCACGTGTCCATCGGGTAATTAGGAAGTTTCATTTTCGTTCAGAAGTGCTGCTTCTCCAAGTAATTTGGCTTCTTGATATTCTAGCTTTGCACTGATCCTGTCAGAGTACTTGATGAGTATCAAGCCGTGGAATAAGGCGACACTCGCTTTGGCACTTTTCAGCATAAATTCGCCAGCCGCGTAGAGTGGTGATTCTGAGATCGAGAAGCTAGTACCAGTCGCATGACCGACCTGTTCACGCTCGTCTGATGAGTCACGACAAAGGTGTGACATCCAAACGCTTGTTATTCTTCCATGACTGCTTCAATAACTACTTTTAATTCATCGTAATGTACTACTCATAAGCGGGCTGAAAATCCGTCGACGGCCCACGAAACCGGTCGTGAGCTGTCGACGGATTTTCAGCAACCTTATGAGTAGTGCATTACAAAATAATCACCAACTTGTTTTCGTTGGAGTTACCTTCTAGGAATCCATCACCAGATGATCCTGTTAAGTCTGTGTTTCCGAATCGATTTTCTTCCATTAGGGTAAATTCTGTTGCCCCTCGATGTATCAACTATTTTTCCCAACATTGTGTAGTTTCTTCGGTTTATCGTTATCTCTGGAACAGCGGAATAACCGTGAGAGAAACGCATTCTCTCCCCTAGTTTCCCGGTCCATCTTAGCCGTATGAAATCCTGCGAAACGACTCACAGTCGCGACGTTTTCACAACGCTATAGCAGAACAGGGTGTGACACGAGAAACCTGAAGTCGTCATCTCTTTTCTGAAAGTTTGTGGATGTTATGTTCTCTCTGACTAGTCCTTTTTCGGCTACGCACCGCTTGTCTCCATTCTGTGCGTTGTGCCCCAACACCTCGCCAATCACTATCATTGATTTTATCTTTGCCTACATACTTTCTCTCCCCTAGCTAATCATGTTTCTGTACTTTCTATCGATCCCTTTCATGTTCTCAGCTCGCCAACATGTTCAGCATCCCGTTCCTAGAAACCAGTGCCAAATCTGGTGCCAGCGTCGATGATGCATTCAGACAACTAGCCCGGGACATCAAAGTAAAAATGGAAAAGAAAATGGTAGGTATTGTCTTGTTGGTGTAACCCCCGTTTTGCGGTTAGACTTATTGAAGGTCGGTTTCTTGGTGGTTCATTTGTGATGAGCGATTTCAACCGTATCGCTCATATGCATCCACTGTTTTATAGTTCGGTGGTTAAGGCGTGAACTTAGTGACCGGAAGGTCAGTGGTTTAGAACCCAACTCCCTCATCTCATTTCAAACTTGACAGTATCTTAACTTTCGTGCTTTCTTCGGTGGTATGGCAGCTAGGCACTGGAAGGGTGTTACAGCTGAGCGGCGATTTACTTTTCATGATGGACTGGAAATACGATATAAGCTGGAACTGCTTACTTTTGACAGAAGCGATTTCACGTTGACTGTGGGTCGTTCTTCATACCATGTCCCGCAGTATGACTGCGGACTTGTTGGCCAGGTGGATGGTGTTTTCGGGTTCAGACCCCCGGAAAATCGCTCTGCTGTTTTCAATACATCTGTTAGTGTTGGTATGGATTAGCATCAATCCACTCTCGAAATCCATGCTTGCTAATCTGTCCCGGACGCTCACTAAAGGGTTTCAGTACGGTGGGTCAAGAAACCCCTGACTAGGACCGATTGGATTGTAAATAATCTTAGTTTGGAGGGTCACAGTATTCATTCTCGATAAGTTTCTCCCTCACGATATAGAATCCGCCTCGTATACCAATTCATATTGATCCTCGAACATGCAGCAGTCGTCTGCTAACACTGACAGAGTCGTTTTATCACTCGAAGGTGCATGATCCACCTGGTCCGTTTACATTTTTATCCCGTTTTATTCATACGCTAATAGCCGTGCGTGCGTCACATTGTCTGGTCCTCAAAGTGGATTTAACCAATGTGCTGTTAGTGTAGCTGATCACACTGGCCAACCGATATGTGGTTCGTCAGTTCAAGTTCCTGGTCTGATATATCGGTCTTTCATCTATCAAAAGGAAGTGAATATACGCCGCCCTTCAGCATCCATGGTTTGGATCGTGAAACTAACCACCACATGTGTTTTACCCCTCACAAATGGCCATCGGCAGTCTTCTCAGTTATATGCAGCCTCTTAGTCAATTGTCATTGTTTCTCTTCCAAGAGGAGGGTTGTACCTATGCTCGCTGTGTCTGTTTACTGTTTTATCGATTCTTAGTTATTTGGCTTTCAAGTGAACACGTCTCGTGGTGGTGTCTATCGATCATCTAATGACAACCGCACCCTACTGAATGTCAGCTTCTTTTTCCGAGCTTTCTGACGAAACGTTCACGATTGCCCCTGGATTTAGGCTCCAAAGATATCAGCTACTGTCCCCAAAGACTCAGCTATCCGTTTTTATTCGTCAAATTGTCCGTGAACCTACCGGCATCCACTGCACACACGGTTTATAGCATCATCATACTGTTCAGCTGTAACACCCTTCCGGTGCCCAGCTGCCATGCCACCCGAAGGTTGCACGAGGACTGGAATACTGCCAGGTTGTCGAACCCTAGACGGGGGAAGTTGAGTGCCAAAGGTCGGGTTCGAACCACGGACCTTTCGGTTAGTAAATTCGCGCTCTAACCACTTGGGCCATCTCGCCGCATATGGCGTAATCATGGTAATCATTGACAGTGATACAACAACTATTCAACCTCGAGGANGTAAATTCGCGCTCTAACCACTTGGGCCATCTCGCCGCATATGGCGTAATCATAGTAATCATTGACAGTGATACAACAACTATTCAACCTCGAGGAAAGGGACCTTAGTAAAAAGTGGAAAGAAAAGAGAAGGATGAAACTCCCAAAGTATCGATGATAAGATATCTTTATCTGTGGGCAGCATCGCAATAGGTATGTCGCAGCAGCATGTTGAACCAAGACGCCGTCGGTGGGATTGATCCAGCCTCCCCTGCCAACCTCACCCTATACAAGCTCAGAATACAACGACAGGCGAACTTTGACCAAGCAGTCAGTTTAAGAAATAAGAGCGTGCGCGCCACTGAAATCGATTGTGTACTATCGTTCATGGTTTACAACCATCTGTGGGTACATCTACTCCAGTCAGGAAACCGCTAATGCCACATACTTCGACACTAGTTGTTTTCATCTCACTTTACCGTCGTTTCCCAGCTACCCGTTCGCCAAAAATCGTTCGGGACAGAAAACGCTTTCTTCGACAGACGGTGGTTGGGCGTACGTAGCACGCCAAGTTTAATCTGCTGCTCTAAAGAATCGGATTCAATACTCAGTACCCGCTTACGCACCACGTTAGGTGCTCGCTGCAGCCAACTACCTCTTGCTGTGCTACAGAGACACCGGTGGTCGGACGTTTGAAGATGCTCAGGGTCCTTGGATCGGAGGGGCCAACTACCCTGCATACACGACCCTTTCGCTTCAGCGAAATTCGTTTCTGGCTTCATGAATGGTGAACGCTGCTCGCGCCTTGTCTGTTTGCGCATTGACTTCCTCCGTTATGGTGTTATCCAGGCTTGTACAGCTGTCCAGATACGTGAACTGAGTAAACCTCAAGTTCTTCGTCATGAAGTTTTAGTGAAGCACAAAGGGATACGAAGCATTCAATTAAGAATTTGCACTTTGCAGGTGCAAGACGTGTGAGACCTATGGTTGGATGGCAGTGGTGACGATGGTGATTGAATATCAGCTGTGACCACATCCTACCATCGGATTCCATCGTTAAACCTTGTATCTTTCGTAATTCCGATGGCGAACAACTTCTTTGCATCGGTCGGTAGCATTTTCCTCAAAGCGTTCAGCTGTGGTCCCCTTTCGGTGCCTAGCTACTATGCCACCCAAAGGAAGCATGAGGGTTGGGATACTGCCAGGTTGTCCAAGCGGAGACAGGCGAAGCTGAAATACAGAGGACTGGTTCGAACCGCGGATTTGCCGATCAATAAATTCGCACTCTAACTACTCAGCCTCAGGCACCAACTCTTGGCGACTGTTTATCCAATCGAATCGTGGACTTTGACTATGGTTCAACGCAGTCCTTAGACCTGGTATGAACCACTTATCTGCCATCATATTCCCTGATGAGCTCTTCTAGTCACTGTGTAAGCACTTATTCACAGTTCACTTCCCCCTCAGTCCCACACCTTATCGCAGTATTTTTTTCGCGCCGATTGTTGCCATCGTCATCATCGATAAAATGGCATCGGTGTTCAACACTGATTCTTTGCTGCCCCACATTTTGAAGAAATGTGGATGAGGAATGGACACATTGTTAGCCTATCTCAATTGTTCCGTGGTATCTGTACCTCCAAGTACTCGTTCTGGCTAAAAACTGACTCTAAGAGCGCCATTGACATCGATTGGGCGAGATGGTGGTAAGAGCGCGAATTTACTGACCGGAAGGTCCGTGGTTCGAATCCGACCTCCGCCTCTCGACTTCCCCTGTCCAGGCTTGGGCAAACTGGCAGTATCCCAGCCCTCGTGCTTCCTTCGGGTGGCATGGCAGCTAGGCACCGAAAGGGTGCTACAGCTGAACACTTTCTTTCTTTCTTCGTTCCTACTCAAGAAGAATGACAGACTCCGTCCTCGAAGGTTTTCAAACAAATCATAGTCGCACGGAAGTGGAGCACCAGTTTTGTTGACTGATGTTATACTGTCTATGATAATGGTAGTTATTCGATCTCCAGTGGTCTCACAAATGTAAGACCACAACAGTCAATTTTGCCTTCTTCTTGGAACACAAACTTCGAAGGACTCTGTTCGGCGCACTTTTACTCGTCTAACTATTTCATTCCTATTTTAAGGTCATCTGGCGCTTTCCACCAAACCATTCACACCTAGTGATGCTATCTTTTGTTTTTTTCCTTATTAGGACATGGCTGGCCCGCCAAAGCAAGACCTGAAAAACCTGAACAGTGGTCGTCACAAGCGCCAATTTTGGCGGTGCTCTGTGCTTTGAAGGCGGATGAGACCCCCCGCCTCTCCCAGAAGTTTCCTACGCACCCAACCCAACCCAATTCCTCTCCTTGCTGATGCTGTCCATTGTCACTTCCAATGATATATATTTATATATATATATGTATGTATGTAAACATACACAATGTACACAACACGAGACAAAATAAGAGACCATCAAGATTGACCGTTATCCTCGTCCTCCCACGTACAACTCAACCCTCCTGTACGGGTCTTTCCGGTCCCTGCATTATGCTTGTGCCTTGTCGGATTCGGTTCATCTTGAGCCAACAAATGCTTACTTATTTCCGTCCTTGCCCAGTTCCCTCCGTCGCCCCTCTCCGTCCCCCATTTGTTCACAGCATCTCTGTCGGTCCAGTTCCAACTTTTCCGTGGCGCGGTCCGTCCCTGTATCCCGTTACTTGAGGCAACTTGGGCATTAAGACACCCCCAAAGTGACAAGGTCACAAGGTCACTATCCCTGCCCTCCCTCAAACCGGAGTTTGGGGGAATGATATAAACCAGACTGTACATAAACTGACGCCCTATTGTTAGTTGTTACCACTGCCGCTTCCGTTCCTACCCCTTGATTACCGACTTGTGTTGCGTGTGCTATTCATGTTGCACGCAATTTGTTTTGGATACTTTTATTTCATTTTCCTTTTTCTTAAAGCAACATGAGTCGAACTCACTACCGCCTCCTTTTTCAGTTTGTAACTGTCCAACAATGTCAAAGCACTGTTTCCACTTGCCGCTCCATCGTACACTTTTCACCCGGTTGTTACCTTCGATCACCAGTCAGTAACTAGGCAGTTGTCACATCCTAACGGTTAGGGAGTAAACTATTTTGATTTACGATTACGATCGTTTTTGACAGTCCCTTCCATCTTCTCTTGCCTGTTATCCATTATTGTGATCGTTTTTGTCCCATTCTCATTTCGTAGACCTCGTAAGTGATTTTCTCTTCAGGTTCACTTCCGCCTATTCTCGTTTCACTGTCATATGCCCTCGTCCTGCTTTCATGGTATAACCCTACCTTGCGTTCCGTATCGGTCAGATGTTGGCGACATCACCAGTGTCTTCCTCGTACGCACGCACGCATGCTTTTTGGTGAACGAAGAAGGGGGCGAGACATTTATCCGGTTGTTCTGGTTTTTTTTTAAATTAGAGCATTTAAGTAATCCGATACTCGTGCTTTCTTAATTATCTTCACTGTTCTTTGGTCTAGATTTTTTACGATTACATCAACGGACGCCATTTCTCTCAGTCTGTGTGTCCAACCTCCTGTGTTAACCTCTCTCCCTTGACTATTCACAGTGGTCTCATTCGCACGCTCTCTTCCCTCTTCCGTTTTTTTGCTACAACACACACGGTTGGTTCCTTTTGTGTCGAATTGGTTTTGAACGGTATGCAGAGAGTCGCATGATTGAGGTCTTATTTCAATATTTCCACCCAATCCAGGCTAACAGCCCCCTTAGTCCTGCTCTTCTTCAAATTTACTGGTGATATTTTTCTCTGCCTCCATCCATATGTTCAAGGTGCTTGGACCGTCTCCATCGGTGTATCCTTCGCAACCCTCTGTGTTCGATCCCGGTTTGTCGGCCCAAACTTGTGACACGACATTCTTTGATTGGTTTCCAATTTATTTATTTGGCCAGTGTCCTCATCTTGTTCACCTTACCTGCAATTCGGGTTGGTTGGAAGACTGTGGGCCACTTGCTACACATCAACACCTATCCTAAATTCTCAATTAGTTTACACTTCTCGGGGGCCGTCTTTTGCTCGGCGGTCTTGTTCCTGTGGAATCTTAAGGTCGGATTGACTGTCACCTGGTGATCTTCGTACTAAAGTCCAGTTTTTGAGTTCAGTTGATGTTGACGGGATTCTGTAGCGAAATCGCACGGTCGGTCGCTACATAGACTAATCTAGCTGTCTTGCGGTTTGTGCCAACAGCCTTATGAGATCAGTACTGTGACAACGCAATCTCTCATTGGTAGATGTTCTAACTTGTCAGAGTGCTCGCTGTGTTCCACAGCTATTTTCCTGAAGAGATGTCGATTTGATGTGCAGCAGCGACCGAAACAATATTTGTGCAAATGACTCGCGCTGCTTTATTTTCATCAACCAAGTAGTTCAAACAGTGTGGTTGGATTAAAAGCGGTCGAACCTGCGTTCCAGGTCAGTCACCAATCAAAAACAAAATTGGTACGCAAGTGAGTGTATTCCAATAATTTCGTGCAATTTGGGTTCAAGTAGAACATAAGGTTGACGGAAAACTCGGGGACGCCCCCACATGATGAGCTCCAAAAGATCAGAAACCGGTCGTGGGTTGTCGAAGAATTTTCAGCAACCTTATGAGTAGTATATTACGTGTAGACGTGCAGTGTGTTCGGCCTATATAGGGCATCATCATTTCGCCAGTAACTTGTGTTTGATTGAAACAGTGAGTCCCGTTATATCGGAATAAGCTTGGCGAAACTCGGTAAGATTCAGTTGAATACCACTATTGGGTTAAACTTTATCAGGTTCATAGTGATTCGTTTTCAGAGTTCAGCTGACCCGCAGTTGTGATAATGGTGAACATGAAACTACTGGGTTATGATGCACTCTTTATCAGTATGTACTTACGATTGGGTATCCTGTTGAATGCACACTGAAATCTAGCGATCTCCGTAGAACGAATTCACTGCAGTATGATGATCGTGTTTCATTTCATCGCACCATCTTGCAACCGATACGGTTGGTTGCAAATGATCCTTACGTAAGTGAACACCAGTAATCGATTTGGTGAATTCAGACACCTCAACCAACGAAACATATTGGGTTCTTGTTTCCTCCATACTTTTCTTCCAAGTCACCTGCCCCTTACCGTACATGATCTTTCGACCGGTACCAGCCCCCCAATCGGCGCGCCATCGATTACCCGGTAGAAGAAGACCAATTTTTCCCCGCAGAGCACAATGAACGAAAGAACGTTTGACAATCAGGAGTGGGAAATATGAAGATCCAAGTTGGATGGAAAGACTGATGTCGCTGAATCGGTGGGGATATTCGCATTCAGTTCATTTAATTGGCTCGCATCAATTGTATCGGCCACTACCTCTACTGTGTAGGTATCTATCTTGTGTCCCCAAATAATCGGCAAACGAAACTGTGGCGGCTATAAGCACCGTACGGTAAGTACGCGATTTTTATAGTTGACGATGGCGATCAACTCGTTAGCGGTTGATACAAACCAAAGAGGGCTGGTAAGGTAAACGACGGTTGATCGTAACAACTCTGCAACAGCATTCGGTGATGTTAACCGGTTCCAGGTCGTGGGCTGTCGAAAGGTTTTCAGCAACCTAGTGAGTAGTGCATTACGAATATACATGTATCACGATATCTCGATGAGGCGGCCCGGTGCCTGGAGACATCACAAACTAGAGGTTCAGCTGGGTTCCAGGTGAGGCTCTCTCGAAACCAAATTTGTTTGCAAATGAGTGTAATTCGTTAGTTTCATGCTCATTTATGTCCGAAAAACTCTCCGGAGCGACTTGATCATATTGCAGCCATTGCGATGCGTTGCGTGAGTGTGTTATGGCATAGTAACAACGAAAAACTCGAGCGACTTGATCATATTGCAGCCATTGCGATGCGTTGCGTGAGTGTGTTATGGCATAGTAACCAACTTCTCCAAATACTTCATATTCATCAACTGATTGCTTGAAATCAAGTGGTTGCCGACACCCTCACTGACCACCTGTCCTTCGTCCCACTAGATGAAATCAAGCCTTGACACGGGCATTGAACTCTTTTTCTGATTTGCCATTCCTTCCCGTTAGATTACTTCATCTGGGCGAGATGATTCGGTGGTTAGAGAGCGAGTTTACTGACCGCAAAGTCCGTGGTTCGAATCCAACCTCCGCGTCTTGACTTCCCCTGTCTAGGCTTGGGCAACCTGGCAGTATTCGAGCCCTCGTGCTTCCATCAGGCGGAATGGCAGCTAGGCACAGCAGAACGATGTTTTTTATTTCATCTAATTTTTTTAAATCTCTCCAGGGAGTACCGCCATCCTACTTCGGTCCATCTCACATTGGTGTGCTTGTGTTTCATCGCGGTCTAATTTGGCTGCCAGCGCGATGATGCAGACGTCGGTGTTTTCACAATATGTCTATTAAATTTGTGTGCTGACAGGATGTTCGGGTATGGTGGTGCACTTGCCTGTAGACAACACCACGTCAGCCGTATACGGGCTTGTTTATGTGTGGCGTCACTTGTTCTGAATGTAGATCGATCCATCGATTGATTTGTGCAGATGAACACAGTCTACCACATGTGGGTCGCCTGCAATTTCTAAAATCACTTTGCTACGATCACGGTCTACTCAATTTGGACATTAACCGCACTTCCAGAAACTCACGAGTTACCTTTTTTGGGTTATCGATTAGTTAAGTTTCCACCTTGCATTCATCACCGTCATTTATGTCAGCTGTAGTAACCGCGTACTTATCGTACAGTGGTTTCAGCTGCCACAGTTTCGTTCACTGATGATTTGGGGAGGTGGGATAGGTAGCTGTGCATTGGAGCTGCAGGGAGCTGATAAATTTGCGTAAATACAGCACTATCAGTGAACTGTTAAGTAAGGGCTTGCTCAGATCTTGCATTGCAATACAATACATGCATTCCCGTTGCACATCAAATTAGCTAATGGGGCAGTTGTCTTAACTGGCCTCTGCCTCGGTCGTACATTCCCCACCTGTTTTTGAATTTTTTGTGTTTATTATAAGATTTATTGTAATTGTCGGTGCGTTGACCCTAACCGTTTGCTACTCGTATAAATTTTGTATCATGCGAATCTCATGGTCGTGTCCCGAGCATCGTGGCTTTCGATGTTCCCATGACATGACCGAGGCCGGGATATTGGCCAGACTCCCACTCTCTTGCTGTTACCGGTAGTGCTTGGGAGAACAGTCCATTTTAGGTCAGTTTTCCGACTTGCGTGAGGTGAGTCTTTTTGGCATTCGGAAAGAACGCTGATGCTTAGTGGCTGTTCCTGAATGTGTAGCCCATGCGGCTCTATCGCTCTTGTGTATGGGGGTTGAGAATGCCTTTGAGAAAAGCTTGAACATATCACGACTGTCGACAGAGTTCTCTTTCAGGAACAGGAAGGCCGCGGACACCTTATCCTAGTTTCCAGATGCTTCTCAGTTAGTTCTCCACTGGTTGTGTCTTTCTAACTTCTAAATTTAGCTAGGTAAGACCAACTGGTCGACGTCCATTTCCTAACGTGTTAGTCTTTTGGCTCGTTGGTTCTATTAGGACGAGGCGTGTAATGTCGGCTCCATGGTGAAATAGACTGGAGGTGATACTCGAACGCGTTCTGGCGGAATATGCGATTTCCGGGCCTTACAAACGAGCAGGTGCTTGGTGCGAATCGCGTTGACTCCATGGCAGTCGCAAGGCCAAGTAATAAACAATAAATAATCAGTAAGCTGTAACACCCTTTCGGTGCCTAGCTGCCGTGCCATGCGAAGGAAGCACGGGGGCTGGGATACTGCCAGGTTGCCCGAGCCTAGACAGGGGAAGTCGAGAGGCAGAGGTCGGGTTCGAACCACGGTCGGTAAATTCGCACTCTAACCACTTGAGCCATCTCGTCCCCGCAAGGTCAAGTGCAAGTTCGCTTTCTCATTACGACCGATGCTGATCGGCTGCTTTCGGTTTCGTTCGTACGCGGACAACAGCATACATATGTTTATATTCATAGTAGTAGTAAATAGCTGGCTCCACTCTCGTCCAACTGCAGTTCTGTTGTATTTCTTTATTCCTTTACTCTAACCAACGTCTTTCAACCCTTAGTACATGCAGGGGAGTCCCACTTTGGGTGAAGGGGTTCCCTAGAGGTTAGCTGCTACTAAATGAAGTTATCTTTTACTCCTAGCTTCCAGTTAGACGCCCTACCAGTTGCTGTCCCCGCGGACGCGATTCCTGTACACCAGTCTTCATCACTGAACAGCCATCAAGGCCTGAAGAAAGTTGAGCGCATTGTGAAGTTTGTGTCTCTAGTACGGTGGAAATCCTGGGCACATTGAAGACAGTCTGCGGTCCAGATCGATCACTGTCTCTTTCGCCAGGGTGTTTGTTGATCAGGTTCCTTAGTGACATACGTCTTCAGTCGCGCGCAATGCTAGTACCTGGTTCATGTGCCACCATTCTGCTATGACTCAGCTTTGTGACCAGGTGGTCTACTGCGATCAGGGCTACTTTTATTTTTGAAATTCCACAGTGTGCATCGTTTTTACTCGACCGGTTGCGACGGTTCCCACCAGCTGATGAACGGGGAAGTGTGCCGATAATGCGGGTTTTCATCTGCGCCATTCTGACATCAGAAGTTACAAAATACATTTCTACTGGGGACCACCATGGGCGAATTCCAACTGCCACGCATTGATCGGCGCTTGTTGCCAGCTGCAAATAGATAACCACGTGTCGTAAATGCTGTGTTTGTGGACAGCTGAACTCTTTACTTGATACCCTTCCATAGCGGTCACTTTCCTTGTGAATACACACCGTAACATTGCGAGGAAGTCGCTTTTCTGTCAATCTCGAGATTGTCAAACCTTCTAGGAGCTCCCGGGGCGGAAGAAGGTCCAAACTAGGCGTGAAAACGACCACACTTCAGAGTTTATGGTCTTGCTTAGTACTAGTTATCGAATGGAAGCGTTTGAAAAAATTTCCGTCAAATTATCCAGAGCTTCTGTCATCAGGTTCACCCGTAAATCAACGGCAGTTGTCCGCATTTCATTTGCGGTATTGAACAAACTCGTGACTAATATCCGTGCCTGTTCGCTGGCTATTGGGGGGGGGGGCGAGATGGCCCATGTGGTTAGAGCGCGAATTAACTGACCGCAAGGTCCGTGGTTCGAACCCGACGTCTGCCTCTGGACTTCCCTTGTCTGGGCTTGGGCAACCTGGCAGTATCCCAGCTCTCGTGCTTCCGTCGGGTGGCATGGCAGCTAGGCACTGAAAGGGTGATACAGCTGAACGTTTTCTCACGGAAAACTCAGGAGATGGGTTCAAATGTTCGTTTAATGTCTCCATTTTGAAACGAGCTGATTTTAACAAACATCAGTTTGTATATCTTTGTAATGAAAACTCATAAGGTTGCTGAAAATCCGTCGACAGCCCACGACCGGTTTTGCCCTTTTGGGGACTCATCAGGTAGGCGCAGTCCCCGGGTTTACGTCAACCTTATGTTCTACTTGAAACTGAATTGCAAGAAACAATTTGGTTTTTTCGAGAGACTCACAAACTAGAGATCCAGCCGGGTTCCAGGTGAGTCTCTCGAAAAACCAAATTCGTTTGCAAATGAGTGTATA